GATTCAACAGTACATAAAATCCGTGATCTAGTTCCATCTGTAAAATATGCTGTTCCAGACATACAGTACCCGGGCGTTTACAAACTAAAGTGCCTCTGTGGTAGTAGCTACATTGGAGAAACCAAACGACATATCTCGGACCGCATACGCGAACATAAAGCAGACTTGAAACACGGTAGAACGAACTCCTCTGCCGTGGCAGATCACTGTTATAATTCAGTGGGCTCACATGACATTGACTTCTCCAAGACGGAGGTTCTTTGCAAACCAACCGGCTACCATGAGAGATTCGTTTATGAGGCCATTCACATATACAAGCGCAGAGACAATTTCAACCGAGAAAATGGATTCTGGCTTAGTAACCATTGGAAATATGTTTTAAACCATTTACGTTCTTAATTGTATTTTACGATGACCTTCAGACCGCAGCTCTTTCGCTGGCATTGACTCTTAATACCTCTCACACCACGGTTAATGGTATGGTTTACAACATGGAGTATAACAGCGCCTCGCAGCTGTCTCTCTCCCCCTCCTCTGTTCCGACCATGGATGAACTCGTCCGTCTGAACGGGGCCCGTAGCTATCCGTGTTGCTAAAGTTGAGGGTAAGGATCCACCCATTTTTTTGCCATATAGCATTGTGATATATAACGACTTATTGTTGGTAGCTTAGCTGATTGGAGAATATATAGAGTTTATTGATAACATTGAGGTAATTTATATTTTAGTTTTTTATTGGTTCAGAATATAGTATTCATTATATATTGTAGTGCATACCCAGTTACTGTGAATAGCTCAGATGTGTAGGCTGCGACTTCAACATAGCCATTTCTGTGACCAGTCCCAAGCTAATCACTCAGTTATTTCAATGCTAAATTCTGCTAGTTATTTCAATGCTAAATTCTCCTGTTTGATTTGTACTAGGTGCCTCTGTGAATGTGTATGCTCTGACTTTAACATAGCTATTTCTGTGACCAGTCACATGCTAATCACTCAGCTATTTCAATGCTAAATTCTATGCTAATTCCTTTGTCAAGAGGTGCCTCTGTGGATGTGTATGCTTTAACTTTAACATAGCCATTTCTGTGACCAGTCACAAGGTAATCACTCAGCTATTTAAATGCTAAATTCTATGCTAATTCCTTTGTCAAGGCGCTTTGTTTCTTCTCACACAGCTTAAAGGTCGCGATCTGAGCGTGGCGTTTTCACTCCAGCGCTGTCCTCCAGACAGTCTCGTCCCTTCACCTGATGAAGGCCGCTTGTGTTCTGGCCGAAACGTCGTGAGAATTTTATTATTTTATTTTATCAATTTATTATTTTGTTCTCATTCTACGTGACTTTACCGAAAGAACCAAAGAAGATCGTACATTACCATAACGTTAATGTGTTAGTGTAACCTGTGTGGTTATGTACTTGTTAAATGGTGCATATGTCCACGCTTCAGTATTATAAGGAGATCCTCTTTATTTTATTTTCAGCATATTTTTGACAAAGTGCCTAGGTGATGACCAGTATGATGGAGAGACTTCACGTGAACACGATCACTGATCCAATCGATTCGGAGTGATCGCTTCGGTGTGATCGAGTCGGCGTGTTGTCACCGATTTTAGAATCGGTTCGGCGTTGCGCAGGGATTTCATCAGTGAGGCGTCAAGTTGACAGCAGATTTGGTCGTTTCAGATGGTCCAACACAACCGTGTGCTGGAGAGGCCGGTTCAATAAACCCGCCGCGTGTGAACGGAGTCTCCTCCTGGATTCCTTGTCTACAAGCGTGGAGTGCAAGAAGATCACGCCGGAGAACTATCGGTTGTTAACTTTGCTGCGTAGTAACCCTTGACACCGAGGAGAATTGTAGAACCACACGGAGACGGAACGTCAGGTAAGGGCTTACGCAGGTTTAATAACACTCTTCACACGACTCTGTGTACTGCACACTCACTGACTGGTTACACTCGACGCCTACACCCGTTATGGTGCGCGTCAGAACTCTGGCCTGCACCTGGAACTGCTTCCAACTATAGGAGTCCTCTACTTATGATGTATAGTAGTGTAGCGTATAGTGGTGTATAGTGTAGTGTATAGTGCAGTATAGTGTCGTGTATAGTGTAGTATACTAATATAGCTTGGCACTCCAACACACCGGCGTGCTGTATTAGTGTACTACACTATACACTACTATATACTACACCACCATACACTACTACACTACACCATACACTACACTACTTTATACTACACCACCATACACTACTACACTATACACTACACTACTTTATACTACACCACCATACACTACTACACTATACACTACACTACTTTATACTACACCACCATACACTACTACACTATACAGGTAGTCCCCGACTTAAGATGGAGATGCGTTACGACCACCATCGTAAGTCGAAGATGACATAGCCTACCCAGGAGTCTTAAAGAATGGTGATAATTTTACTGTATAAACTATATACTGTATGTATTTATTAATTAGAATACTGTATTGCAGAGCAAAATGTGAAGTAAAAAAACCAAGGTAAATTCTGAGCCTACCTATATAAACTGCAATTTAATAGAAAGTTTTTTTTCAGGAAACAATCCTATCTGCATCACACAAGGCGGGAGATGCGAACATCCCGGCAGCGTCCCCAACGTACACTATCGTACCTCGTACGCTGCTGCGTTTGACTGCCGCGCGAAATTTAAAACATTTTACAATTTTGTCGTACCGCTATCGCCATCGTAAGTTCGAAATATTGTCGTAAGTCGGACCATCGTAAGTCGGGGACTACCTGTATTTACGCCCCGGTACGGCTTCCCATGCCTACTTCCTCGTCTGCCCCGGGCGGGGGCTCACCCAGCACCGTCCGGCGACGAGGTGAGGCCTCTACCCCTCTCGCCTTTCTTCGGCGGCGGCTGGGGTGTTCCCACGCAGGCTCTCGTTCCTCCTCCCATGGCGGACACTTCGCTACCCCCCTACGGCGACCCCGCGCTCGTCCCGGGGTCCCCCTTAAGTACCCCGCCGCCTCGGTGACATGACATCATCACATCACGTCATCCCTCTCCTCTACAGATGACGTGACGTCATCCCACTACTCCTCTACACTTTGTTAATTATTGTTGACCACCCCCTCTGTGGCCAAGAGGACGATCACGGCGCGGGTTACAAACGCATAAAAAAAACTACAATTTATTTACACGGCGGCTTAACATCGCAGTATGATCGACTACATGAACAGATTAATACAACAAAATACGTAAAAATCTGACATAAATACCGTTACATTTTGATTTAAAGCTTTCGTGACTGCAGTAATTCATATTCTTAGTTTTTTCGGTAAAGTCACGTTGAAGGGAAACAACAAAATAATAAAACATATATAAAACAAAAAATTCTCACGACGTTTCGACCATAACTCAAACGGTCGTCTTCAGGTGTGTTGGTTTGCATAAATTTATTTGTAATTAACAAATTCCGCATTTATTTATTTATTTATAAAAAACGTTAGCGCCACGCGCAACGATTTGGCAGTTTATTTAGGACTAGTCCATCTATATTCTGAAAAGAGGAGGGGGGAGATGAAATGTTTTATAATGTATGCTGTCTGAAAGCCACTGTAAGCGTGAACAATCAATTAAGACCTGAAATGGTTTATCAAATCTTTCCAATGATTGCTAAGATAGAATCCATCTTCTCGGTTGAAATTGTCTCTGTGCTTGTATATGTTGATAGCCTCATGAACGAATCTCTCATGGTAGCCAGATGGCTTACAAAGAACCTCTGTCTTGGAAAAGTCAATGTCATGTGAGCCTACTGAATTAGAACAATGATCTGCCACGGCCGAGGTGTTGGTCCTACCATGTTTAAGGTCTGCTTTGTGTTCACGAATGCGGTCCGAGACATGGCGTTTGGTTTCTCCAATGTAACTACTACCACAGAGGCAACTTAGTTTGTAGACACCATCAATTCCATACACCCAGCCATCAGATTTACCATGGAAGTCGAAATAGATGGCAAGATACCTTTTTTGGATGTCCTAATTAAAAAGAGACCTGATGGTTCAATGAGCCACTCTGTCTACAGGAAAGCTACCCATACGGATGCTTATCTGAAACCGGATTCCCACCACCATCCATCACAGAAGAATTCTCTCATCAAGACTCTGTATCATAGAGCCCAATGCATATCCGACCAGGAACACATAAGCAGTGAACTCAAGCACGTACACCAAGCTCTTACCCTACATTGCGGGGATCACAAAAAAGATCTCCAAAATCTTGAATAAACACAAGATCCAGGTCCGTTTCAATACATTACATAAAATCCGTGATCTGGTTCCGTCTGTAAAATATGTGATTCCGGACATAAAATACCCTGGTGTCTACAAACTAAGTTGCCTCTGTGGTAGTAGTTACATTGGAGAAACCAAACGCCATGTCTCGGACCGCATTCGTGAACACAAAGCAGACCTTAAACATGGTAGGACCAACACCTCGGCCGTGGCAGATCATTGTTCTAATTCAGTAGGCTCACATGCCATTGACTTTTCCAAGACAGAGGTTCTTTGTAAGCCATCTGGCTACCATGAGAGATTCGTTCATGAGGCTATCCACATATACAAGCACAGAGACAATTTCAACCGAGAAGATGGATTCTATTTTAGCAATCATTGGAAAGATTTGATAAACCATTTCAGGTCTTAATTGATTGTTCACGCTTACAGTGGCTTTCAGACAGCATACATTATAAAACATTTCGTCTCCCCCCTCCTCTTTTCAGAATATAGATGGACTAGTCCTAAATAAACTGCCAAATCGTTGCGCGTGGCGCTAACGTTTTTTTTATAAATAAATAAATGCGCCGTTTAAAAATTAAAAATAAATTCATGCAAACCAACACACCTGAAGACGACCGTTTGAGTTATGGTCGAAACGTCGTGAGAATTTTTTATTGTTTTATATATATTTTATTATTTTGTTATTTCCCTTCAACGTGACTTTACCGAAAAAACTAAGAATATCAATACCGTTGTTTTGTAAGCTCTGCGATCCGCGCAATGTAATACAAATTCCGTGGTGCCATGGCGCTACTCAAGTGATCAGCTGGCCGTCTGTTTTGTTGTACAGTACTCCATGGTGCACATTAATGTTGCCGTTAGTCATGGACCCGAGCGTGCAGCGAGTGGTGAGAGTGAGAGGGAGTTGCATCCGTGGTCTGGAGGAAGGGGGCGTGGCTGGGCTGAGCCCCTCCTCCTTCTAACCAGCCCTCCCCCCATAATCTCATTGTCATCGTCATCATCATTGTTAATACTTTTGAATTCTAATAATCGTTAATATTTAAAGGTATGTAAAGTTAATGTCATGTTTATTCATGTTTTATTATGTTACTGTGTAATGTACCATACACAGTAAAATCGTTTAGTTAATAAACAGCAGCTTAGTCAAGCTATGACGAGTCTGACCACGCTATGGTTCCCCTAACCCCCTTGAACCCATAGGCCCCCTGTAACTTTACCAACCGCGAGGGTTTTCAGGAACCCGAACCTTCGCGGTTGGCCAGGAAGTTACTTAAGAATATGAATTAAGCTTTAATTCAAAATTTACTCTACATACATACAGGGGTCGCATGGGCGACCGCTCAAATAGGAGCCTCTCATCTCTAACGACGAGCGTCTGAGGACGGCAACGGGCATATTGAGAGACTTTCGCACAGCACGGCCATTGCAGGGTACAGCTCTCGATCAAATTTTCCTTGAAATCGATGCAGCAGCGACATGGAGTCGGCGCTGTAGAATGACAAGACGCCCGCCTCCCAGTCTAGGTGAACCCCGACTCTTTTGGGAGCATCTCGCACCGACAGTTTTATTTCCGTCTCGTTATGTACCGCTGTGTAGGTGTTGCCCCGTTTCTTAAGGCTCCACGAAACTTCATTACACCCAATCTTACAGGCTTCGTCATCACCTTTCCGTGGTATTGAGTCATACGTGACACCAATGACGAATTTCTCAGAACCCCTCACGTCCACCTCCCAGTAGTGGCGACCCGATGAGAATTTGTCAGAGCAAATGACCACTCGGTAGTGGTCGAATCTGTCTGAGTTGTCAGGGTAAGGTTGGGTGTGTGTGGACGTCCTGACGGTTTTAAAGTCGGCAGAAATCTGGAGGTTCCGATGTGCCGTGTTTGGGTTCGGAGTTGGCGAGCAAGTGCCTGTTAAAGATAATAATACAAATTGTGTTAAGCGAACATTGTTTACTTTTGACAAATACACTTCACACTTTACAATATGTCAGTAAGAAGTACAAACATTTGCTGAAAGTTTTAGCGTGCCGGGCTGCACTTCACAAGCTGATGTAGTCTTTATCAGGGGTACCTAAGTTTCTGCCCTAGGTTCCTGCCCTATGAAAGGCGAATCAAATAGAGCCCAATGTATCAACTGACTCACCCAATCTCATTCTCAGTAAACTGTCCACAAAACTGTCTGATGGCTTCAGGACACGTCTGGTCGTTAACAATCGCGTCGCCTGTAATCCAGCACTTTGTAGGCGAGGGTTGGTGGATCACAGATTCGTGAATCTCCCTAAGCAATGGCTACTGCCATGCCAGGGTATGGCAGTACAGCAAGTGGATTCATCTTCATCTGGAATCCATCTATAGGGGGATTACGTGTTACCTACTTCATACTTATTGTTTGGTGTTGATGTAACTCACTGACTCCGTGTCCCTACTGGACACCTGTGAAAAAGAGTTTGATAGCTCATCGGATTCCTCATCCAGGATAAGGATTTTGATACTTGTGAGTTTTTTTCCATGTTTACTGCCACAATGCATTAACGCATTTTCGCTTGACATGGAGCTTTTTAGCAATGCATCTACTGTGCTAAACGATGACTTATTGCACTGTATTAAGGGGTTCATATCTCATACGGATATCTTTCTTTATCTTACATCAGCATTAGAGTTGAGTGACAAAGATGATGCATTAATGCACTCAGCAATGCACGTTGTGTGGCGTGTGCAGCATATCACTTACTCGATTCGCTCCTCATTTTCAGGAATGCCTCTTGCTTTTTACGATGTTGATGCAGAATTCCTTTGAGTTGCGGGCTCTCTTCCTGCTTGCGATCGAGGTGGCTGATGATGAAGTCAGCTCGTGCTGATGCGCGGGGTACCGAATAGACTTCTGAGAGCTCGGATTGCGTGATGAGACCCTGGACGAGCAACTCGTGGTGTAGCATTGCAGGGCTCCTACCGATCAACTCTCGTGCCACCGAAGGTTCCTCCATCGTTGTTCTGAGCAATGCATCTTCGCTGTCACCCTTCTCTGCATCGGTGTTTTTTGTGCGATGACCTCCACTGTTTGCAAAGTGATCACAAATCTGAATGTCTTCTCTGCTCTCATCCACAGTCAGGTTCTTCAATGATTGAGCTATTGAAATATTTGTAATAATAAACGAAACAAATTTGAGTTCCAAAATTGAAATTGTGTAATGCCTTCGTCACGATTATTATTATCATCATGCGTTAATTGTAAGCAATCGGTGGGAGGTCTCCCCAAGCCACAACCATTTATTATGGCCCTGCACTGACAATCAATTTCACTCTCACAATATATTTCTGCACGTTAACTGATATCACTCAATCTCCGTCTCTGTCACCAACAGCCATCAATGTGCCCACAACCACTCTTTGCTTTGTACATTCTCAGCCACCTCTATCCCATTATGCACTTTTTGGATTTTTGCTTAATTTAAGTTGTCATCATTCCGCATCTGTGCTCACGATTTTGGAATTAAATTGAAAAATCTAAAATACCAAAATCAAACCTCCATACTAAATTTCAGACAATTGGAAGTTGTTGTTTGTTTCAGAATGAGACAATCTGCCATGTTCGCTTCCCGGGCGGTAACACGAACACTATACTCTTTGGTTATTTCGGTAAAGTCACGTAAGTAGAAATAAAGTCAAATAAATCACGATGTTTCGAACGCAACACAAGTGTTCGTCTTCAGGCGAAAATGGCGAGTCACGAAAACTTCAAATCAACACGAACACTGCCACAGTGTTTCAGGAACCACCGCTGTGTTTGCATTCTGCAGAAACACAGAGCTCGGAGATACCCTCGCTCCCAGCTCCACACTCTACTGCTATAACCTCGCGTCTAGACTCCCTCGCCTTCACTACCCCCGCCACACACAGACATAGCAGGTGAAGTTGGGCCAAATAACCTCCACGACCGACCCATAGGAAGTGGGTGGGCACTCATGTAGCAGTGGATTAACAAAGGGGATGTTCACGTGCTCTACTGCTGTGGCTACATCGCCTGCATGCACACTCGGCAGCGATGATTCTGAACCGAGTTTTCCTTCTGGATATTAATAGACTCCAAGTCAGTGTCACTGATTCCCTATGCGTGACACGCCCTTGTACTCACCTTCGTAAATCGCGACTGAGCCCGACTTCACCTGCATAGCCGGACAGAGCGGCTCACTTGGAATGTCGTTGAATGAGTGCAACAGCTCCATGGTGTTGGCGTTGTAAAACGAAAGTTTTCCTGCGTTAAAGTCCAAGCGAACGCCGACTCTCTCCAAATGCGTAATCTCTGGATAAGCAATGGATTGGTCGCCATGTCTTGCAGAGTTATTTGAATCCCATTGAATGAACGCCCAAGACTGCTCATTCCAGCCCAGCCTGCCAAACTTTTCTTCCACTTTCCGAGGAATCGACCCACGTGTGACGCCTATAGAACAGTTTCTAGAGGCTCTCACGTCCACTTCCCAGTAGTGGTCACCCGACGAGAAGTTCTCGAAGCAGAGGACTATTGGCCACGACTCAAACCTCTCTGCGTGATCAGAGTAAGGCTGAGCCGCCTGGTTCCACGTCACTGTGCTGAGATCGGCAGAAAATTGAACCTGTCGATGTGCCGAGTTGGGGTTCAGAGTGGGCGAGCACAAATCTGCAAGATAAGCAAATAATTGTGTAAATCTTTACAATCACGATTGAGTTTTTTGCTAATTTTCGTCAGCCATGATTAAGTCGTCGCCATTAGAGGCAAAGCTGCACCTGGACATTTCTTGCCCATGCCACTGCTGGTGGAATGATCTCGACTTGAAGCAGCTTCAGAGGGTATTTGGCATTTGGCCCTTCCTTCCAAGCTGGTTACATGAGCCACAACGGCTAGGAGATATTAACTAGCTCGCCTGGTATGCATGAGGTCGCGTGTTCAATCCCGACCCTGACTCCAATTTTTATTTGGAGTCTGCATCTCTCGCTCTCTCTCCCCGCGGTGTTCGTGTGGATTTTTCTCCGGGTCCTCGGCGTTTTCCCCCCACCTTTAGAATCAATATTACGCGTTTAGAGCATTAGGCTGCTATCAATTTCCTCATGATGATATGAGCCACTTGGTTGATCTATAATTTGTGATGGCCAGCTCGCTTATGAAAAATAGCTACTCCATAGCAGCTCAGTGGGGCCTTACCCAGTAAAGTTAAATCGTTTCCTTGAAAAAATAGTTTTAGTATAGTTTACTCTACTACTGGTAACCACTCATTGTGCTGTAGCCAGCGGTATTACCTCGTCGTGTACCAAACCTTTACACCGCGGCAGCATTGGAGCACGTGGTGCCGTGCCGTGTTGCTCGACCATTGATTATCGAGGCTCCCCGGAGTGCAAGCGGAGAATTGAGGAATACTACGCTTTTTTAGAACTGTATTCAAACTACTGCATTTTCCGAACCTACATAGAACTGCGGATGTATGTTAATACTCTTTGGTTCTATTGGGTAAAGTCACGTAGGTGAAAATAAAATAACAAAAAATCACGACGTTTCGGCCACAACACAAACACAAACGTGTTGTGGCCGAAACGTCGTGATTTTTTGTTATTTTATTTTCACCTACGTGACTTTACCCAATAGAACCAAAGAGTATGGATCCTAGTAGTCACGAAAGCTTTAAATCTAGAATTGTATGTTAATATTTGCATGGAACTACTGCCGGCGATTAAATCAGCTTGCGAGTGCTAAGTCAATCGTTGCATAGCAGGGTTTTGGGAGGTATAGGAGGCTTGGGGAGGCCTTCATTCAGCAGTGGATTGACCTTGGCTGATGATGATGTAAAGGGGATGAGTATGATATGTATCCAGTGTCCACTGAGATCAGCCTAAATTAGTCGCAACTTTTTTGGCCACTCCACCATTGCCCCACCTGTGAACGTTTTCCAGCTTGAGTGAGATGCTGGGACTGTGCTGGGACTGTGATGCTGAGACTTAGTGGACTAATTTCTCTGATGTTAGAACGTTTTTGCTATTGTTGTTTGTGTCTCTTTAGTTTTGGTGACATTTATGTATTTGATTATTATTATTTCACTTTCCGAGGGTGTTCATATGCTCGGTAATTGCTATATAATAGGATTTGTACAGCGCTGTGGAATATAATTAGCATGAATGTCGCGATATTTAATTAAATTATTTTTACAAAGTGGTACGGCTTGACAAAAGTTAAAAATGGCTACGTTTAATGGATAGCAACTCTGACGAGTATGTAATTTGTACGCACCGCTCGTCTTCAGTATGTCCAGGAAATTCCGTTCCCTGCTCCGCTGTTGTTCGAGTGTCTCCAGCAGCTCTCGGCGTTTGCCTTCCCCTTGGCTCATGACGGGCAACAGGATTGAGTCCACGCGCTTGGCGGCATCGGGAATTGTAAACGCCTTCCAGTACTCCTCTTCTGTAACCACATTCCTCCTCTTCAGCTCGTGCAGGAAAAGAGAGGGAGTTTTGCCGATCCACTCTCGCAACTCTGGCAATTCCCTCTCGATGTCCTTCCAGTTGCCCTCTTGATCTTCCGTGATCATTTTATTGATGAAATCCTCTGTGCTCTGCCAGAGTAAAGACACGACAAGTGAGTGAGCAACAATCGCCAGATCATCATCAGCACGCACAACACGGCTGACCAATAGGGAGCCATCCCTCGACCGCACCTGAGCATCGATCAACCTCCCATTTTACCTTTACCAGGTAGAAATTCCTCCGGTACAGCCATGGAATGTCCAGGTACGGAAAACCTCTCCACTCTCCTAACAACTGATCTCCCCGTAGAATACTGGTTACTTCCTCACACCCCCCTCATATATTTTTACATTAAAGCTAGCACTCTACACCACCGTCAGAAAACGCCTTCAAGGGTGGACACCGAGAATTCCTTCCCCGCACCTTGACAACACTTCAAGCACCTAAAATCGCCCTCCTCCTCCCCCACCATCTTTCTGTACCCCCCCAGCTTCCTTCAGAAAACCATGGACCCGTTGTGTCGGGGCTTGCACGCTTACCACAGTAATGAAAAACACAACAACAACAACAAAAGTGTGGGATAGACTTAGTAACGTGCAATGACTTACATTCACTTCATCATGACCAGATATATTACTGCGGAGTGAATTATTTCTCACCAGCTGCAAGCATATGAAGGGGGGGGGAAGTACAAGATAACAAACAAAAATGATAAACTTTTAATTTGCAATCAAGTCGCTTCATAATGGACATGCATTCTACATGTAGCAGTAACCCCGTCTTACTCCTCGGTAATATCACGTGAACATTGATTCCAATCACAGCCGGTCGCCCGACTTCTCACGCGATTCAAATACTCAATTGCTGCCCCGGCCGCCCGCACCAACACATCAACTTTCATCAATAACGTAGCAAATGATACAGCCACCTCTCTCTCTCTCTCGCTGTCCTCCACCTCCATTCTCGAGCCTTGTCACCCTCCTTGTCCTCCTCGCTCGCCTGCCTCGTCCACGCCCAGCCCACACGCCCCTACTGGAACGGTCTCCATGGTTTCCCTGCCTCGTCTCTTTCTCCCGTCCCCTTCACCATTCTCTTTGGTTCATTCGGTAAAGTTCTTTAAATCAAGATATGTAAACATTTTTTTATAAGGATTTGTTTTTTTTCTTCCAAACGTCTTGGTAAACGTTCATCTTACATTGCTGCGGTGTGTTGTAGCTACCACAAGGCAGGCTATTTTCTTTTATCAGTTTGAAGAGCCACCGGTCAAAGGCAACAAAGCGATCAGCTGGTAATTGTGCATCTTGCGTATTGCATGGCATAGCTCCATTATCACTGAACAGACCGTCACATTAAAGATGCTCACATCAAGATATGCCGAGTGCTTTGATTATAGATGAAAATACAACCGTACGTTTGGCTCAATTTTATTTTAAAAGATATTCAGGGTAGGAACAACGAAAGCTAATTGCCTTTAAAAGTAGGCAATGATAATACATTCCATGTGTAATGAGTCCACCAGACGAAGTTTGAGACGACACAGCTACTTTTTGTTTTCTGCACGAGCTCACGCCTCGTGCGGACCACTTCACTCGTAACGTCATCTTTAGCACTAACCTGGGATCCCGTGGGTGTTTCGACCTCCGGATCGTGTGAGTATTAACACTACACAGGAGGTGGAACATTTGCTCCATGGATCAATCACCCACCCACCCACTCACTAACCCACCCACTGACTACCCCAACCACCCACTCACCACCCACTCACCCCCCACTCACTCAACCACTCAATCACCCACTCAACCACTCACTCATTCACTTACCTACTCAACCACACACACTCATCCACACACACTCACTAGGCCCGATCACCCCAGGATCAGAGCCTTGACCTTGGAGTCCTTAGAAATAAGGCGATCCGAAGATCTGAGGGACCTCGTTGGGGAGTCAACGAGGTCCCTCAGATCTTCAGATTATAATTATGAGTGCTGCCATGCCTAATGCTTCATCGACACGTGCTGACCATCGCGATACAGGACGGGCAAATGACTCTGGCTACTCAGGTGGTCTGCTGAGGTTCTCATTCAGTAGTGGCATCATTAACAGGAGTGTTTTCGGTCAGGTCACAGTGACTTAGCGAGTTGTAATGACTTACATTCACAACCTCCTCAGCCGTATTCAAAGACGTGGTCTCATTTTTGGAGCGACTGTTTCCTATATAAGAAAAAAATATGCATAATTGTAGAGCATTGTTATTACTAATATAAGCCAAGAATGTGTCCCGTGCGTGACGTCACTTCATAATCATGAGCAGGTGACATCACTCCACATGAAGCACCCCCCTCATTAATAATCATGAGCGGATGACGTGACTCGTGGACCGCGCCCCAACCCTCTCATTAATAATCATGAGTGGGTCGTTATTTTAGATTGAAAATATCAGATTAACTGCAATACACCCATCCATGGATGGGCTATAGGCTAGTATATATACGTTACATTTAATATAATTGTCGTGATGGGCTTATGTTGACGATTATTAATATATTATTCTCATTTATATGGCTTAAAGGGTTAATTTTAAATATAATATCACACCCACTCAAGGAGATTTACTATTCCGGATCATCGCCAGATGATGCTGGTTGATGTAATTACCAGCGAAGCGTCATGATACTAAATTGTAAATGTTATGGATTTTATCTCCAACACACCGGTGGGCTGAAGTAGTATATTACACTATACACTACACTATACTATACACGATGCACTACACTGCACACTACACTATACACTACATACTACACTGAACACTACACCGTGATGATGATGATGAGAGACATGCAGACTCCAAACATTCAGCAGCAGGCATCGTGAGAGTCGAGTATCGCACCAACGTCCTCCTGCGTACCAGGCGAGAGAATCAACATGCTCCTCGCCACCACGACTTACTCCTGGTGAAGGGTCCTTGGCGATCTCCGTAGAGAATGAGGCCCAGAGGCACCACAATAAAAATGAGGAGCACCACTGTAGTGACAGCACCAGTGATAGCTCTGGCAAAATCTGAGGATCGTACACATACAAGAGAGTAGTTTATCGTGTAGAGTAGAGTGTATAGTAGTGTAGAGTGTATAGTAGTGTATAGTGTATAGTAGTGTAGTGTATCGTAGTGCCGTATATTGTGTAGTGTATAGTAGTGGAGTGTATAGTAGTGGAGTGTATAGTGTAGTATTATAAACACATAGGATTTGACGAAGTAAGTTGTAACTGAACGTGCCCCATGCTTAATTTGTTTCGATTCAACTTCTCAAAAAAAATCTGGCCATGTCTCACCACCCGCACCCCCCCCCCCCCAGAAAGGGCATTCAAGTTAAGAACCAACACTGGTGTAGCAAATTCACGGTGCGATTGTTGTTGTCTGGGACTGTTGTTATTGTCCTGGTGTGGTCTGGGACTGTCCTATGGTCTGCACTCCTATCGTGTTTGTGTACACTATACTATAAACTACACTACTATACAATATACTATATATTACTATACACTACACTATAAACTACACAACTACAGTGAGGGAAAAAAGTATTTGACCCCCTGCTGATTTTGTACGTTTGCCCACTGACAAAGAAATGATCAGTTTATAATATTAATGGTAGGTTTATTTGAACAGTGAGAGACAGAATAACAACAAAAAATCCAGAAAAACGCATGTGAAAAATGTAAAAAATTGATTTGCATTTTAATGAGGGAAATAAGTATTTGACCCCTCTGCAAAACATAACTAAGTACTTGGTGGCAAAACCCTTGTTGGCAATCACAGAGGTCAGACGTTTCTTGTAGTTGGCCACCAGGTTTGCACACATCTCAGGAGGGATTTTGTCCCACTCCTCTTTGCAGATCTTCTCCAAGTCATTAATGTTTCGAGGCTGACGGTTGGCAACTCGAACCTTCAGCTCCCTCCACAGATTTCCTATGGGATTAAGGTCTGGAGACTGGCTAGGCCACTCCAGGACCTTAATGTGCTTCTTCTTGAGCCACTCCTTTGTTGCCTTGGCTGTGTGTTTTGGGTCATTGTCATGCTGGAATACCCATCCACGACCCATTTTCAATGCCCTGGCTGAGGGAAGGAGGTTCTCACCCAAGATTTGACGGTACATGGCCCCATCCATCGTCCCTTTGATGCGGTGAAGTTGTCCTGTCGCCTTAGCAGAAAAACACCCGCAAAGCATAATGTTTCCACCTCCATGTTTGACGGTGGGGATGGTGTTCTTGGGGTCATAGGCAGCATTCCTCCTCCTCCAAATACGGCGAGTTGAGTTGATGCCAAAGAGCTCCATTTTGGTCTCATCTGACCACAACACTTTCACCCAGTTGTCCTCTGAATCATTCAGATGTTCATTGGCAAACTTCATGCTCTACTGCTATACACTGCTATACATTATACTACACTATTATACACTACACTACTATACACTACTCTATACACTACACTACTATACACTACACCGCAATACACTACACTACTATAGAGTACACAACACTATACAATACATTGTGCACTACTATAGACTACACTACTATACATTCCACTACTACAAACTACTATAAATTACGCTATACACTCAACTATAAACTATATGATACATTACACTATACACTACACTACATGCTAAACTATACACTACACTATATGATACACTACACTATACACTACACTATACACTATATGATACACTACACACTACACTATACGCTAAACTATACACTACACTATATGATACACTACACTATTCACTACACTATACACTACACTATACTATACACTACACTACACACTACACTTCTTGTCATGGTTATCGTTCACCTTTCCCGTGCAGCTCTCCCAATCCCCGTGTGCGTGTCCCCTTACCCTCCCCGACCCCTCAGCGTCGATTGTGAGCGCGTTAGAGCCGCGTGGGTGCGGCGAGCGGTCGTCCGAACCTGGGGCTCGCTTCACTTCCGTGCAGGGGTCCGATGGAGCAGCCCTCTGGAAGCCGTCTTTACAGCGACAGCGAGTGTCCTGCCTGGTGGTGCATCTGCTCTCGGTGTCCTCGACTGCGGAACAACACCACCACCTTTATCTCACTTCCGCACGTGGGTAGTACGTTTTGTGAGCATCTGCGCACGCAGTGCAGGGTCGCCTGGTGACGCTGGAGCAACACGGGGCAACAAGGAGCAACGCACGGTGATGCAGCGCGGTGACGCATGATTCTAAATATGGAGGAAAAAACCGGAGGACCCAGAGAAAAAAATGCAAACTCAGGCATCGTCAGGGTTGGATCAAACCCAGGACCTCCTGTGTACCAGGCAAGGTAGTTAACATCTCCCTCACTGCAGTGGCGCCAACAGTGTGCGAGATTTCACTTTGTATCATGAGCGGTGCATGAATCACGTAAACCCCTTGATTCCCCAAACCCGTCCCCTTCCTGTTTGTGAACAGGTTCACGTCGTGTCTACAAACAACCACCCACCCCTCTTACAATTCACGTTGCAAACGGTGCACTTCTTGCACTCGTTGGAGCTGTTTGATTCGTCCGTGAAGTCTTCTCCTGGCTCGCAACTCGTACAAAACGTGCCGGTCGTGTCGGATTCGCAATCCATCACCTTCCTGCTACCTGCAAGGCCGCAGCAGAGGTGGGCAGGGTGGGTGGGCAGGAGGAGGGTTACAGACGCACCGACTGAACGAGAATACAAATCAAAAGGTTTTGGTGTTTGTTGCTATTCACCGCCTTACTGTGTTTCAGACTCGCGAACCGTTCCACTTAGGAACGGGTCTCAGGAACGAATTAGATTCGCAACCCGATAAATGCCCGTTCACTACTATACACTGTACACTACACTGTACACTACAGTATTAGTTTGAAAACTAAATTCTTTAGAGCTTCTTTGGTTCTTTCGGTAAAGTCACGTAGAATGAGGATAAAATAATAAATTGATAAAATAAAATAACACAATAATATTATCACGACGTTTCGGCCACAACACAAGCGGCCTTCATCAGGTGAAGGGACGAGACTGTCTGTCTTCATCAGGTGAAGGGACGAGACTGTCTGTCTCGTCCCTTCACCTGATGAAGGCCGCTTGTGTTGTGGCCGAAACGTCGTGAGAATATTATTGTGTTATTTTATTTTATCAATTTATTATTTTATTCTCATTCTACGTGGTGACTTTACCGAAAGAACCAAAGAAGATGAATCCTTGCAGTCACGAAAGCTTTAAATCGAAATTCTTTAGAGCTGCTGCTTGATATTGTTTAGTTTGTGGTGCCAAGAAGAATGGATACATGTACAGTGAGGAAAAAAAAGTATTTGATCTCCTGCTGATTTTGTACGTTTGCCCACTGACAAAGAAATGATCAGTCTATAATTTTAATGGTAGGTTTATTTGAACAGTGAGAGACAGAATAACAACAAAAAAAATCCAGAAAAACGCATGTCAAAAATGTTATAAATTGATCGAACAGTAAGGAAGTCCACCAAGGCCTCTGATTGGTGCAGGGAGGCCTCAAAGACGATTGGTCAGGAGGTGAGATTCAAAGTGGATTGGAGGAGAGACTCATAGAGGATTGGAGGAGAGACTCAAAGGTAAAGGGGGGGGTAACGAGGGTCGACTGTAGGGGGGGGCGATGGTTGACTGCCATTGGAGGAGGAGGACGCGGATTGGCTGAAGGGAATAGGGTGAGCGAAGCCTCCACAAAAGGAGCTCGGAAGATAGAAAAGTGTAATGTGTAGTGTATAGTAGTGTAGTGTATCGTGTATAGTAGTGTAGTGTATCGTGTATAGCAGTGTAGTGTATACTAGTGTAGTGTATAGCAGTGTAGTGTATAGCAGTGTAGTGTATAGCAGTGTAGTGTATAGCAGTGTAGTGTATAGCAGTGTAGTGTATAGCAGTGTAGTGTAGTGTATATCAGTGCAGTGTAGTGTATAGCAGTGTAGTGTATAGCAGTGCAGTGTATAGTAGTGCAGTGTGTAATAGTGTATTGTAGTTTTTGCTGGAGGACGACTGCCTCCAACTGCCCAGTAGCAGCGTCCTTCATGAGCAGCTACCAACCACCACCACACCACACTGCAGCTCAAAAGATTGTATTTATTCACTTATTTGAGTGTTTACCTTCAAGATTTTTTAAAATATTTCCCAACCCCGTCCTCAATTCAAGTAAAGTATTAACTCGAATCTGGTAACTCTGAGCGATGAAATTCACTATTTAATCATCCAGATTGAAACGTAATTTCGTTTAGAACTTCTGCTTTTTTGTTGTTGTGTTCAGTGTTGTTGTCTTTCCTACCAACCACACCTCCTATTAGGCATGGTTAGCCCTGTATGGTGCGAAAGAAGTTCAACGTATACTGCCCATATACTATCACTACCCATATAGATTCAACACTGACATTTTACTAACACTACCCATATAGATTGAACACTGCCCATAGACCAACACTGCCCATAAAGATTCAAAACTGCCTATTGACTCAGAATTGCACCTCCGATTAGTCACGTTTGGCTACAAGAAGTTCAACGTATCTACATTAAAACCTTTCATTGGTGGTATTTGACTCAGGCCTTTCGGTCTGTGCACATTACCTGCTTGGCAGAGCTCACAACACAAGCCATGTTTTGACAAGTAGTGCGTTGTTTCATTACATCCGCCTTTAATAACCTGCGTGGGAAAAAACCATTCAAGACGAAGAAAAGTCAACAACCAAAGTAATTTATGTTACCAGGTGTAACGAGGCCGCACTGAGCTGCTGTGTAGTGGCTCTTTTGTTCAGAAGTGACCCTGGCCATCACAAATGATGATAGCAGCTCAACCAAGTGGCTGATGTCATCATCATCAATGTGTGGACATTTATAACATAGCCCAATACTCTAAATGCATAGAGATGCATAGAGACACAGATATGTACATAAAGAGCTGTAGAGACCCACAGAGACCCATAGAGGAAAATAGAGGTCCATAGAGACATATAGAGATACATAGATACCAACATAGACACATGGAGACAATTTAAGTCCACAGAGACGCACAGAGATCCATAGAGACCCATCAACTAAACTATTTTAAGTACCAGGTGTAAGGCCCTACTGAGCTGTGAAGCTCATTTTAAGCGACTCTGGCCATCACAAATGATCGCAGCTCTACGCAGTGGCTGATGACATCGTCACTTACGAATTTATATCAGCAAACAAAGACTTTGAACGCGTGTTGATGTTGATTCTAAATGTGGAAAGGATAAACAGGAGGACCCCGGAAAAAAAAATCCACGCGACCATGGGGAGAGAGATGCAGGCTCCAAATATACAGCAGCTGGCGTCAGGGTCTGGAATCAAACCCACCTCCTCCTGCATACCCGGCGAGGTAGTCAACATCTCCCTAGCCACCACCGGGACGCCCCAATGCTCAGCGGCCTCACACACTATGAATTTATCCATCAACAGGGGCCGCTTTTTGTGGGGACAAACTGGGTTCCCCTAGGTCGACCCAGCCTCAAATGGGGGAATCTTTGATTATGAAGGCTGTATATGTCTGTGTGTGTATGTGTGCGTGTATTTAAGTGTGCGATATAACCAAGGGTACATGAGCGACGTTCACAACAAAGAGCAGAGCGCCAGGCAGATAAAATGCTGCGAGTTTGCACAGTATGGGGTACAACTGGTGGTGCATTTACCGGTCATCTCAGTCAGCCAACCCATGGCACCTACTGGGTCTCTCCTGATACCTCCTGTCAGCAGAGATCCTTCGACACTTCACGTGGACTGAAAGTGCACCTGGTCTGCACTGGTGACATGGTGACGTCACCGTCACGTCATGGCTAATGGCGGGTACTGGTATTGGCTACAACCCTGCCCATCCCATGTCAAAAGTCGCCGCACACAGTGGGGTGGATGTGAATGGGTGTAAGTACTGAGCTCAATGTAATGTTCACGTGAATCATCTCGCTTGAAAAGTGATCCAGGGCGCTTCAAGATTCTGGGGGGCAATTGATGAGCCCTACAATATTCCTGTTGGCCACACATTTTTCTTTGCTCCTTACCTCTCGTAGCCCCTTGCTGATCGTCGCACTATCAGAGAGAAGTATCTGCAGACCACAGGATAAGTAAAGAAAAAAATCACTCTGAGCACGCCATGTAAACTAAAACTGTGTCTATTACAAATTCCAATGATAAGAAATGTGAGCGATTTATCCGATCATTCAATTGGTGAGTTTTAATTTTCGAAAACTTTGCCGTGGCAGTAAAACTTTAAAACAATTAATAACCCTAAATTAGTAGTTTTTTTGACATAGACATCCGGGGAAAATTCGCGTGAAGAAACAAGTCTACTGGATATTAATTCGTGACGATGTATTAACACTAAATGCAAATATTATTTGGGTCTTTCGGTAAAGTCACGTAGATAGAACAAATTACAACAATAAAATAATACAAATTTAAATGAAAAGAAAGTGAATGAAAAATAATCGATCACAACACAAGCAATCGGCACTAGCTACGAACAGCCACTCGCGACGAACAGCCACTCGCTACTAAATGCAAGCTTGAGGGAAAGGCAACACAACAGTCCCAGACCACACCAAGACAACAACAACAACAGTCCCAGACCACACCAAGACAACACCAACAACAGTACCAGATCACACCAAGACAACAACAACAGTCCTAGACAACACCAAAAGAACAACAACAACAGTCCTAGACAACACCAAAAGAACAACAACAACAGTCCTAGACAACACCAAAACAACAAGAGTTCCAGACCTAACCAAGACAACAACAGTCCAAGACAACACTAAAACAACAACAGTCCTAGACCACACCAAGACAACAACAACAGTCCCAGATCACACCAACACAACAACAACAACAGTCCTGGACCACACCAAGACAACAACAACAGTCCCAGATCACACAAAGACAACAACAACAGTCCCAGACCACACCAAGACAACACCAACAGTCCCAGACCACACCAAGACAACAACAACAGTCCCAGAGCACACCAAGACAACACCAACAGTCCCAGACCACACCAAGACAACAACAACAACAGTCCCAGATCACACCAGGCGTCCTCTTTTTAGCGTTTCTAATTTTAATGAGATCTGTGTTTTTAATTTTACTGTTTTGTTGATGAAACCCGATCCAAGAGCTTCTTAGCTCACAGGGCAACTCTAAATAAACTGTTCTGTTCTGCAACTATTCTGTGGTGTAAGTTCACTCACCAGCGTCGCGATCGATTGAAGGGCGATGCAACACGATGGAAGATTCATTTTTTAGGCCCCTCCGTCCGCCGTCGGTGATTTTCCTTCCACTGCGCTGCGGCTTCTTCGCTGTCGGTTGCGCCAAGCCGCTCTGGGACACTCCCCGTGAGGTCGCTTAAGCGGCGCCGACTGAAGAGAGAGCTGAAAGAACGAGCGAAGTGGTTACTGACCGGCGTGGTCGGTGGCCCTGAAAACAGAAAACAGCGATCGAGGCGATGGATAGTCACACAATCACACGAGATTGAGAGAGAGATCGCACGGTGTTTGCTCGGCAGCGCAGTGTTGCTAAAACCAGTCAAGCTGCATTCCAAGTCTTGGCCCCTGCACGGTGGTGTGAGGTTTGGCTACCCGCTCCTCTTACAACGTCGTTGGCGCAGCGTGGAAGAGGAGACCTAAAAATGCCCCCTGGAGAGCCTCTCTCGTGATGCTCCCTCTCGTGCGGTCTGTTGTGACGAGATGTTGACTACCTCGCCTGGTACGCAGGAGGACGTGGGTTCGATTCCGACCCTGACGATGCCTGCTGTTGTATCAATGGAGTCTGCGTTTCTCTTCCCGTGATCGCGTGGGAGTCTTTGTCTTCCACTGTAAGTTTCCGCAATGATGATGATGGCGATGTCAGCCACTGCGTTTCAGCTCCCATTCGTGGCCAGGTCGCTTTTTAAAAAGAGCTATTTAGCTCAGCGGGTTCCTACCTGGAAGAAAATTAAGCTTAGTAAATAGAATATAGATTCAAACTTGATTTGGCACTTTCGTGATTGCAGGGATTATTCTTTGGTTCTTTTGGTAAAGTCACGTAGAAATAGAAAACAATAAATTACATATCATACGACGTTTTGATTGCAACGCAAGCAATCATCATCAGGTACAAATGAAAGAGAAACAACCTAGTAAACTTAGAAATGTAATGTGATACAGCACAGATAGTCGGCTAACATTACAGTCAACACCTTACCTGGTTGATTACGTTCTTCAAAAGATTGCTGGATTTAAGAGAGAGATAAAACACAGAACCGGAGACACATATACAGACACATAAGCAGAGAGAGTTAACACAGAGACACAGAGAGAGAGACACACGCATGGACACACAGAGAAACAACGCCTCTGTATCGAGGCCTTAAATAGGTAGAGAGGTGGGACAGAGAGAGGGGGGGGGGGGTTAGAGGAATTAGCATGTCAATGGGAGATCCTGTGCCACAGCTGGAGGAGAGAGCACCAACCGAGGGGAGACAGAGAAAACGGCAACACTAAATCAAACAAACTTAGTAAAATTTGGAAACGTAATGTAATGCAACACAGAGAGTCGGTCAACACACAATTAACACATGGCCTGGTTGATTACGTTATTCCAAAGATTGCTCAATTAGAAGTTAAGTGTGAAATTTGAGAGAGAGAGAAAAGACAGACACGGAGACACAAAGACAGACACACAAGCAGAGAGAGACAACAACGAGACACAGAGAGAGAGAGGAAACAAACTTAAAACCTCGCCGTAGAGGTGGTTCAAACTTAATTTGGCACTGTCGTGACTGCAGGGAATATTCTTTGGTTCTTTCGGCAAAGTCACGTAGAAATAGAAGAGTATAGATTGTTCAGAGTTACCTCTCTCGGAGTACTGGTACCAGCGGTGTCAAGAACGCCCTCTGTGGAGGAGGCTCGTGAAGGATACCACTGGGCAGTGCCAGACTAGGTGCACATTGATGAAGCTACTTAAACACACACTGAGATACCTAGACACACACACATACAGATACACAGACACACACACACTGACACACAGATACAAAAACACAGACACATTTAGATACACAGACATGCATAGGCCTTTGTGTCTCGAGAGACAATTCTTTTTGCGCCTGACGAGGTCAGCTGTAGGTTTTGCAGCGCCTAGAATGACTTAGTAGGCCAATCCTTGAGTGACAATCCTTGCCACAGCAATTGCAAGTGAATGCGGTGGCAGCTCCAGAGGTGTTTGATGCTTTTTCTTTACGGCGCTCCCTCTTGGTCTGCCAAGCAGTGTGTCCTTTCTCCTCGCCTCTCCTGAGGCCTGTTTTCACAGCCTGCTGCCAGCTGAGTCGGTCGCCGGCAGTTTTCTCCCAGTCATTTGGCTTGATGTCGCAGCTCTTCATGTCCCGTTTACAGACATCTTTGAAGCACAGGACTGGGCGACCAGTGACCCGTGTGCCTGATGCTGGCTCGCCGTACAAGATATCCTTGGGTAGTCTGCCATCCTGCATGCGGCGCACGTGTCCAAGCCATCTCAGGCGCCTATGACTGAGTAGAGAGTACATGCTGGGAATGTTGGCCAAGTTGAGAACTGAGGTGTTGGGAATGCGATCTTGCCATCTGATATCGAGGATGCGCCTGAGACATCGGAGGTGGAATGTGTTTAGTCGATGTTCTTGATGGGCGTATGTTGTCCAGGACTCAGACCCATTGAGGAGGGTGCTAAGGACGCAGGCCCGGTACACTTGTACTTTGGTGTTGAGCGTTAGGGATTTGTTCTCCCACACTATTTTAGTCAACCTGAACATAGCTATTGACGCCTTCCCAGTGCGCTTGTCAATCTCACAGACACACAGATATACAGACAAAAACAGACACACAGATACACAGGCACATACAGAGATACACACACAGATACATACACACACATACACAGATACACATACAGACACAACAATCGCCATTTGCCACTAAGTGGCGGTGACGTCACCACGACGCTTGTGCCAGGCCATGTGCACCTTGAGGCCACGTGAAGTGTCGAACGCCCGTTGGCAGGAGGTCATGGGGCAGACCCAGGTGCCACGGGTCGACTGACTGAGATCACCGAGATGAGCGGCTGATGCACCACCTGTGCCCCCGACTGTGCCAACTTGCTGTGCGTTAGCCACCCGGCGCTCCGCTCGTTGTTGTGAAGCTATTGAAACTGCCTCCAACTGCCCAGCAGCGTCCTTCACGAGCCTCCTCCACAGAGGCCGATCTAGACACCGCTTGAACCAGTTAGCTCCACGTCCTCCTGTACCACATCGATAAATCTCTTCTTTAGCCCATGCCACGCCCGCTTAGCCCCCTCGATCCGGCCGAACAAAAGCTGTTTAGGCATGCGGTGGCTGGGCATGCGGGCTACATGACCCAGCCAACGCAGAATTGCCTGCCGGAGGGGCTCACCGATGGGACTTTGTCCAGATCTTTCGAGGATTTGTGAGCTCCTCACACAACCCAGCTAGATTAAACCCAGGATTGATTGTAGGCAGGCAAGCCTAAATGTTTCTAACTGGCGGAGACGTTCCATCAGGGGGGTCCACAGACACACACATACACGTACACACACACAGACACGTACACACGTACACATACACACAGATACACATAGTAACACACACAGAAACAACAACCGCCCTTCGCCACTAAGTGGCGGTGACGTCACCACGATGCTTGTGCCAGGCCATGTGCACCTTGAGGCCACGTGAAGTGTTGAACGCCCACTGGCAGGTCACGGGGCAGACCCAGATGCCACGGGTCGACTGAATGAGATGACTGGCTGATACACCGCCTGTGCCCCCTACTGTGCCAACCTGCTGTGCTTTAGCCACCCGGCGCTCCGCTCGTTGTTGTGAGCGTCGCTCCTCCGCCCTCCGTTGTTGTTGGAGGGCGACTGCCTCCAACTGCCCAGTAGCGTCCTTCACGAGCCTCCTCCACAGAGGCCGATCTTGACACCGCTGGTACCAGTCATCGGCACGTTCAGTCAGCTCCACGTCCTCCTGTACCACATCATTCCATCTCTTCTCTAGCTCGTGCCGCCCGTTTAGCCCCCTCGATCCGGCCGAACAAAAGCTGTTGTGGCATGCGGTGGCTGGGCATGCGGGATACATGACCCAGCAACACGCAGATATACACACACACAGACACACAGATACACAAACACACGTAAATACACACAAAGATAGATACACAGATATACAGACATATACAAATACACAGATATACAGACACACTCAGATACACAGATATACACACACAGATACACACACACAGATACACACACACAGATACACACGCAGAAACACACATACAACAACAACCGCCATTCGCCATTAAGTGGTGGTGACGTCACCACAACTCTTGTGCCAGGCCACAGACACACACATACACACCTGTGCCACTTCGATGACAACTCACCGTCTTCACCACGATCAGCCTGGTCCAGACAGGCACAGAGACAGCATCAGACAGACACAGAGACAACCTCAGACAGACACAGAGACAGCCTCAGACAGACAGACACAGAGACAGCCTCACACAGACACAGCCTCAGACAGACACAGAGACAGCCTCACACAGACACAGAGACAGCCTCAGACAGACACACAGACACAGCCTCGGTGTGTCTCTTAACAACCCCCCCGAGGTCACCGAGCTCCTTGCTTCCTGTTCGCGCGGGTCTGAAGACTTCCCTGTCCTTGAGTTTCGGTTTAACGACCGCTGCTGATTCTTATCGCTCCGTCGCGAGCCTCTAGCGGCAGTCGGTGACACGGATTTATTGTTTGAGAGAGACAGATGTGGAGATGACCCGAATGTTAACTCCCTCGCCTGGTATACAGGAGTTCGTGGGTTCGATCCCCGATCCTGACGATGCCCGTTGTAGATGTGGAGTCTGTGTGTCTCTCAACATCATCAGCATCATGGTGGTGAGATGGTAACTACCTCGCCTGGTATACAGGAGGTCGTGGATTCAGTCCCAACCCTGACGATGCCTGCTGCTGAAAATGCGGAGTCTGCGTCTCTCTTCCCATGATCGCGTGGAATTTTTCTCTGCGTCCTCCCGGTTTTCCCCTCCACATTTAAAATCAACGTCACCACGCGTTCAGAGTCTTTGTCTGCCGCTGTAAGTTTCCACAACGATGATGATGACGATGTCAGCCACTGCGTTGAGCTCCCATTCGTGGCCAGGTGGCTTTTGAAAAGAGTTACGTAGCTTGCGGGTTCTTACCTGGTAACATCATAATAGTTTATTAAGTATTCTTAGTTTTTTCGGTAAAGTCACGTTGAAGAGAAACAACAAAATAACAAAATATATATAAAACAATAAAAATTCTCTTCAACGTGACTTTACCGAAAAAACTAAGAATATGAATTACTGCAGTCACGAAAGCTTTAAATCAAAAGTTTATTAAGTAGTTTACAGATAACATTTTTAGTTAAAACTTTAGTGACTGTTTCGGTAAAGTCAAGTAGATAGCAACATTTTTAAAATAAAAAAAACACCAATGTAGACTGTATGATTTTTATTATTTTATTGTTTCCCTTCTACATGACTTTACCGAAAGAACCAAGAATATGTATGATTTTTATTTTATTTTTTTAATCCTTATTCAATTTATTTTTTACTAGTGGGAAGTACCCGGCGTTGCCCGGGTGAAAAATACATTTCAAAACTATCTTAAAAACATAACATATAAATACACAGATACTAAGCTATTGTGAAAGCCCGGTGGGCCGTTTGTCCATTTCTCCACCAACAAAATTATAATATGCTTGCAAAAGTCCAAAAAGTTATAGAAAGTGTGGGGTAAATAGTTGATATAAAAGGTTTCCTAAAATTGTGGACCCCCCCTCAAAAAAATATCTTTACCCCCACGTAGGTATATATATATTTACACAGCCTACATACAACAGAGTAAGTAGTATCTATTGACTCTGTAGTTGTATCTACTGACTGTACAGTAGTATCTACTGAGCCAGTAGTAGCTACTGACTGTGTAGTAGTATTTAGTGACTGTAGTAACTACTGACCGAAGTAGTATCTACTGGCCTACAGTAGTATCTACCAACTCTATAGTAGTAACAACTAACTCTATCATAGTATATGCTGACTTTATAGTAGTATCCACTGACTATTGTAGAAACTACTAACTCTATAGCAGTGTCTACTCACTCTATAGTAGTATCTACTGACTCTAGTAGCTACTCACCGTAGTAGTATGTACTGACTGTATGGTAGTATATGCTGACTGTAGCAGAATTGACTGACTGTAGTGGTATATACTGACTGGTTTCGTATCTACTAACTCTATATAGCATGATGTACCAACTCGATAGCAGTATCTACTATCACTACAGCAGTGCATACCGACTTTGGTGGTACCTGCTTTCACTACAGCAGTGCATACTGACAGTGGTGGCACCTGCTATGACAACAGCAGTGCATACCGACTTTTGTGGTACTTGCTTTCACTACAGCAGTGTATACTGACAGTGGTGGCACCTGCTATGACAACAGCAGTGCATACCGACTTTTGTGGTACCTGCTTTCACTACAGCAGTGCATACTGACTGTGGTGGTACCTGCTATGATTACATCAGTGCATATTGTGGTGGTACCTGCTATGATAACAGCAGTGCATACTAACTGTGGTGGTGGTACCTGCTATGATTACAGCAGTGCATATTGTGGTGGTACCTGCTATGATTACAGCGGGACATACTGTGGTAGTGGTGGTACCTGCTATTATGACAGCAGTACATGCTGACGTTATATATCTTAAGTGTTAAAGGTAAATTTGTGAATGTGCGTCTGTTCGAAATGTTAAGCATACTTGGCGACATGCAAGCAAGTTTTTAAAACGGGAACACATTCCTGCGGAGGGAGCTGGTAGGAACGTTGGGTTGCTCGGTCAATGGCCAGGGTCAATGGTGGCGTGGTGTATTCCGCAAATATGCCCGACTGTGAGGGTGGGCACAAGCCGGCGTGAGTAGGTTAAACGTTGAGTTTTATAAGGGCACCACGGGGTGACCAGCCCCTCCCCACCCAGCCCCACCCCTCCAACCCCCCACCCCTCCCACCCCTCCCACCCCATACCTCTCCCACCTCCCACCCAGCCCCACCATCTCCACCCAGCCCCTCCCACCCTCCCCTCCCCAGCCCCTCCCAACCCTCCCCTCTCCACCCAGCCCCACCCCTCCCATTTTATCCGGGTGTCTGGATACACGTGGACAGACATCCACAGACATACACAATTAATCCCCTGCCTCCTGTGAATTAATCCCGGTTGGGCTTCCAGTCCACTACGTTTCCTAACAGTAACAGGCCGATTCTAAAGGAATCTACAACCTTCGATTCCTTTAT